AAGACCCCTGGCTGTCTTCAAGACCCCAGGTTATCTTCAAGACCCCTGGCTGTCTTCAAGACCCCTGGCTGTCTTCAAGACCCCTGGCTACCTTCAAGAGTGAGCTGGACAGACACCTAAAGTCAGTACCTGATCAGCCAGGCAGTGGTTCCTATGTCGGTTTACGTGCAGCCAGCAGTAACAGCCTGGATAATCAGACCCTGATCCACCACGAGGCCTGGTCATGGACCAGGACACGGGGGCGTTGACCCCGAGACCCTCTCCAGGTAGTAAACTCAGGTATACTCCATGTATTATCTACTACCACCGTTTAGTACACGAATAGATGTAGGTTTAAATTCTATCTGCTACGCATATGTTATTAATAAGGCTGAAATTCGTTTGTATATTATGTCAAAATAATTCTAAGTAAAATCTAGGCTCTTTCTAGTTACTTTTCAAATATTATGGACACTAATATACTGTATGACTCACGAAATCGTAATGACACGATTGCAGACAAACCAAACCCCGGCCGGGATTGAACCCGCGGTCAATCCCGGCAACGGGCTGGAGTTTTGAGACTCTCTGACCGCGGGTTCAATCCCGGCCGGGGTATGGTTAATGTACTGTATATATGTAATGACCAATATGTCGTATTTACTGGAATCAGTGTGTATGTTGTGGAATGTGTACGTGGAAAGTGGGCAGGGACTGTGTACGTGTACGTGTGTGTGTCTGTACGTGGGGGGTCAGACGTCGATATATGATCAATGGAGCACTGAGAATCACCTGACCTGGTGATGGTGCTAATGGTGGTGGTAATAGTGGTAGTGGTGGTGGTACTAGTGGTAGTGGTGGTGGTTGTAGTGGTAATGGTGGTGGTTGTGGTGGTAGTGGTTGTAGTAATGGTGGTAGAGAGGGAAGCTCTGGTCGTGACACTGAGGAATATACTAGACGAGAATATACGTATATATATATACATAAATACACCGTGGAACACTGGTGGTGGGGAGGGAACCTGATCCAACACTTGCTACAACAATACTAAACTCAATACTCAAAATACACTAACATAAACACCCCAGAATATAGATTTGGAAACGAAGCCGAAGGTTTGGTACACCAATGCAAGCGGAATAACCAATAAGTGTGAAGAGTGGCACGGAAGAATCAAGGATGCATCCGCAGACATCATAGCTCTCAAGGAAACCAAGCTCGTGGGAGTAGTAACAGATGCCATCTTTCCAACTGGATATCAGATGCTGACGAAAGATAGAGGGAATAGAGGGGGTGGAGGAGCTGCACTGTTTATCGAAAACCAGTGGAGTTTTGAGAAGTTGGAATAGACAGAAGGGAAGCAAGGGACTACATACTAGGAACACTTCAGACTGGAGGTCACAAGGTGGTGATTGCAGTGATGTACAACGCACCACAGAACAGCAGGAGCAACAGAGAGATGGTTGACACACTAGTTGAGGTGGTTAGAAGGGCCCAAGTGGGGCAGGGAAAAACTACTAGTTATAGGTGATTTCAATTACAAGGAAATCGACTGGGAAAACCTTAAGCCACAAGGGGCACTAAAAATGTGGAGAAGTATGATGTTGGAGATGGTACTGGAAAACCTCCAGCGTCAACATGTTAGGGACACTACCCGAGAGGAGAGAACGAACTGTGACGAGCGGGATTCCACAGGGGTCAGTTCTAGTGTACGTGAACGACATGACGGAAGGGATAGACTCAGAAGTGTCCCCTTTTGTAGACGGTGTGAAGTTAATGGAAGAATTCAATCGGATGGGATCATGTAGGACTAAAAAGAAATCTGGACAGGCTTCAAGCCTGGTCCAGCAACTGGCTCCTGGAGTTCAATCCCACCAAGTGCAAAGTCATGAAGATCGGGGAAGGTCAAAGCAGACCGCAGACAGAGTACAGTATAGGGGGGCTCAAGACTACAAACCTCACTCAAGTAAAAGGATCTTGGGGTGAGTATAATGTCGAGCACATCTCCTGAGGCGTACATCAACCAGATAACTGCTGCAGCATCCGGGCGCCTGGCAAACCTGAGAACAGCATTTCTACACCTTAGTAAGGAATCAGTCTGGAGCCCACACCTTGTCAAGCACGTCAGGAAATTAGAGAAAGTGCAGAGTTTGCAACAAGACTAGTCCTGAAGCTAAGGGGCATGTCTTACGAGGAGAGGTTAAGGGAAATCGGCCTGAAGACACTGGAGGACAGGGGGTCGGGGGAGACATGATAACGACTAAAAAATACTGCGGGGAATATACAAAGTGGACAGGACAGGAGTTCCGAGAGGACACAGCAACAAGGTGCCACAGGGGAAGTTAAAGACACAATAATCACAGGATTTAGGAAGTTTTCTTCATCACAAGTTGTCAGGAAGTGGAAGTGGAAGTGATGTAGGGGAGGCAGATCCAACAAGTTTTAAGACGAGTATGACAAAGCCAGGGACAGAAGAGGAGAGGACTTTATACGATCAATGAAGAGGTGGGCCAGGAGCTTGAGTGCCCCCACAACCAAATTAGTGATAACACTCACAAACCCCTCATTTTTTCCCGTCCCCATAACTGACAAAAAACACTTGATCAATCCCACTCACAGGTTATCACACGTTTCACTCCACTTTTTCAATCACACTGTTCATCACACGTTTCGTCAACGGTTCACTCACATTTTTCACACCACGGCCCATGGGGTTAACACACGGTCACACACGGGGGTCACAACCGGTCACACACACGGGTCATACAGGTAAACAAATTTTTATACCTCATGTAATACACTGAGGTTATCCCTCTCAGTGTATAACACTGAGGGGTGTTTCCTCTCGTGTAAATACACTGGTGTATCCCCCTGTATATACACTGGGGGTGTTTTTTCCTCTCAGGTATATCACTGAGAGGATACACCTCGTGAAATATACACTACACTTTAAAAAAAAATTACTTTAGTTATGAAAGAAATTTTCTCTCTCTTGACGTTACAATGACGTAAATAATAACTACAAAGTTTGACCCTCCTTGACGTTACTAATGGGTGGTGTTAGGCTGAAGCTCGCATTACCGTGCTGGGTTTGTAAGGGCTGTTTTCAACGTCCCACAGGGGAATGACCTTTACTCCTATGTATTATAGATCCCCCCGTTTTGGCACCAGATTATTAGATTTTGAGAGAATAAAATTTACGGTGTGGTGTGTTTGGGGGGGTGTGTGTGTGTGTGTGGTTTTGTGTTTGGGGGTGTACTCACCTATTTTGTGGTTGCAGGGGGCGACCTAGCCCTGGCCCCGCCTCTTTTACCGTTGCTACTAACCCTCCCTCCCCCTCCCCGAGCTTTATCAAACCCCCGTCTTAAAAAAATGTGATGGGTTCCTCCCACTACTTTATTTTCAGGGATTCCACGCCTTACAACTCTATGACTGAAAAATACTTCCCACATCTCTCTGACCATTTGTGTCTTCAAAATTCCAATTGGGCCTCTTTTTCGTGCCCCTCCCTGACATCCTGTCTTTGCCACCTTGTCATTTCCACGCAGTATTTTAATTCGTTATCATGTCCCCCCCCTGACCCTCCTTTCCCCCAGGCGTCAGGCCGATTTCCCTTTTCTTTCTTCATAGGACATTTCCCCCTTTGCTCGGAACAACCTTTTTCAACCCCTTTACTTTTTCTATTTCCCTTTACGTGCTTACAAGTGCGGGTTCCAAACAGTGCGCATCCCATAAGGGCCTGACATACACGGGGTACATGCCTTTAATATTCCTTACTAAGGTGCGGAATGCGTTCTCAGGGTTTTTCCCGGCGCCCAATGCTGCAGCAGTTAACCCGATGATGGTTTCTTCCGGGGACATCCGTGTTAACTCACCCCAAATCTTTCTCCTTTATGAGGGGTTTTCAGTCTTTGGCCCCCACCTATACTCTGTCTGTGGTCTTCTGGCCCCTTTCCCCCCTTCATGACTTTGCTTTGGCAGGGTTAAAAATTTAGAGCCATTTGCGGACCAGGGTCCAGTCTGTCCCCGGGCTCTTTTAAATCCTGCCTGGTCCTCATCAGATTTAATTCTCCTCATTAACTTCACATCATCTGCAAACAGGGACACTTCTGAGTCTAACCTTCCGTCATGTCGTTCACATATACCAAAAATAGCACTGGTCCTAGGACCGACCCCTGTGGGACCCGCTCGTCACAGGTGCCCACTGTGATTACATCATTACGTACCATGACTCGTTGTTGCCTCCCTGTCAGGTATTCTCTGATCCATTGCAGTGCCCTTCCTGTTATATGCGCCTGATGCTCTAGCTTCTGCACTAATCTCTTGTGAGGAACTGTGTCAAAGGCCTTCTTGCAGTCCAAGAAGATGCAATCAACCCACCCTCTCTCTCTTTGTCTTACTTCTGTTATTTTATCATAAAACTCCAGAAGGTTGTGACACAGGATTTGCCTTCCGTGAATCCGTGCTGGTTGGCATTTATACTCCTGTTCCGTTCCAGGTGCTCCACCACTCTCCTCCTGATAATCTTCTCCATAATTTTGCATACTATACACGTCAATGACACAGGTCTATAGTTTAGTGCCTCTTTCTGTCTCCTTTTTTGAAAATGGGAACTACATTTGCTGTCTTCCATACCTCAGGTAGTTGCCCAGTTTCCAGGGATGTGTTGAAGATTGTGGTAAGTGGTACGCACAACATATCTGCTCCCTCTCTAAGGACCCATGGAGAGATGTTGTCCGGTCCATTGCCTTTGAGGTATCGATGTCCCTTAGCAGTTTCTTCACCTCCTCCTCATCTGTATGTATGTCGTCCAACACTTGTTGGTGTATTCCTTGTTGGTGTCCCCATCTGGTCTGTCCCCCCAGAGTCCTTCCTGTCTCTACTGTAAATACTTCCTTAAATCTCGTGTTGAGCTCCTCTTGATCGTTTCTTGTGAGTTCTTGTGTGTGTGTGTGTGTGTGTGTGTGTGTGTGTGTGTGTGTGTTGTGTGTGTGTGTGTGTGTGTGTGTGTGTGTCACAAGTCAAGACCAACACCCCAGTATTCCCCAGGGAACCATCGCCTTCAACCCAGCCTGTGACCCGGAGAAGTCAAGCAAGAAACTCCGGAAGGCCATGAAAGGCATTGGAACTGACGCTAGGGTCATCATACAGGAGCTGACCACCCATCAAAACATACAGCGTCAGGAGATCGTTGAGAAATACAAGGACCTGTATGGACGGGTGAGTTCCCAGTTCTCATTAATCTCTACGTACGAGTTAATTGATAAGACACTTAGGTAACTATATTCCGATACGTTCCTCCTACACAGTAGGCTTCTCCAGCTCATTAACTTGGCCTCAAAGGCATAAGAGAATGTAGGAATGGACGGCTACGTTCAGTTATCGGTTGTAAAAATGTGGAACAAGACACGTACAATTCAGGATATTTATTACAGGCAACATTTCGCCAAGATTGCTTCTTCAGTCCTAAGTTGGGTACATGGACACCGACGCATATACTGTGACATTTTACCGTAGCAACGTTTCACACTCCAGGAGCTTTAGGTACAGGTACACTTAGTTACACAAATTATACATGGTGACAAGAGACTTGTGGCTATTGCGGTTCTTGAAGACACTTTGTCTTCAAGATGGATGTAGTTCTTGTTACTTTGCTCTTAATAGGACCTAAGTCTGGGTTCTTCGCCATCCATAGGACCTAATTTAGTGTTCGGCTTCTTTGGGACCTAATCCTGAATTCTTGGCCCTTGGCAGGACCTGAGGAAAGACCTGATGGACGAGTTGGGAGGGACCTTTGAGGAAGCGGTATTAGCTCTTCTGGACAGCCCTAACGACCTGTTGGTAAATGCCCTTAACAAAGCCTTGAAGGTAAGGTTGCCCATCTTGCCCTGCTATGCCCCTTGCCCTAACTCATTTCTATCTTTACAACTTACAGAGCAATCACTCTCTGTTTGCAGAGCACCTGCTGCCCTTATTCGCTCATCAGTAAATAGGCACCTGGGTGTTAGTTGCTTGATGTGGGTGGCATCCTGGGGAAGGAGAGGAAAGTCCTCAGTGGAAATAAGCCAGGAAGGTTGACCTCTCTGGGTTACCCTGGGTTAGCAACCCTCCCCGGCAAATATTTTGTGGGTTTGGGTTTGAGGACCTGCCTAGTAAGAGCCAGTAGGCCCATATTGGGCATGTTCTTAAACTGGGCAAGTAGGCCCATACTAGACAGGTCCTCAAACCCAACCTAGTATGGGCCTGTAGGCCCATACTAGGTCTATGTTCTTAACGTTCTTCTTGGTCTCCAACAGGGCCATGGAACAGATGAAAAGACTCTCATAGACATTCTATGTTGCCTCACTCCGGACGAGTTAGAGTCACTCAGAGATCATTACAGAAGAAGTGAGTAACAGAGAGAGAGAGAGAGAGAGAGAGAGAGAGAGAGAGAGAGAGACGCACGCCTCAGACATTACCAATGCCTCCCCTTAAAGACTCGCTTGTGAATAATGAATAAATGGTTTAGAAAAGTGACAAATAGTTGAAAATGGTAAACAATACCGACAAGTTGAAGATTAAGACACATGTGCAACAGTTAGGTACTATCTTTATTGATGAAAAGTTTCGCCTGCACAGCAGGCGCTTTCAGATACAAAGGCAGCAGTGATAATGAAACAATGATGATGTAATCAATCCATCAACATTGGAGAAACAGTATTTGAGGTGGTCAGTCCCTCAGTCTGGAGAAGAGTTCAGCACCATGGTCTGGAACAAGGTGGTCAGTTCCTCAGCCTGGAGAAGAGTTCAGCACCATGGTCTGGAACAAGGTGGTCAGTCCCTCAGCCTGGAAAAGAGTTCAGCTCCATGGTCTGGAACAAGGTGGTCAGTCCCTCAGCCTGAAGAAGGGTTCAGCTCCATGGTCTGGAACAAGGTGGTCAGTCCCTCAGTCTGGAGAAGAGTTCAGCTCCAAGGTCTGGAACAAGATGGTCAGGGCCCTCCCGCCCGAAGAAGGGTTCAGCTCCCATGGTCTGGAACAAGGTTTGGGCAGTCCCTTCAGCCTGAAGAAGGGTTCAGCTCCATGGTCTGGAACAAGGTGGTCAGTCCCTCAGCCTGAAGAAGAGTTCAGCACCATGGTCTGAAACAAGGTGGTCAGTCCCTCAGCCTGGAGAAGAGTTCAGAACCATGGTCTGGAACAAGGTGGTCAGTCCCTCAGCCTGGAAAAGAGTTCAGCTCCATGGTCTGGAACAAGGTGGTCAGTCCCTCAGCCTGGAGAAGAGTTCAGCACCATGGTCTGGAACAAGGTGGTCAGTCCCCCAGTCTGGAGAAGAGTTCAGCTCCATGGTCTGGAACAAGGTGGTCAGTCCCTCAGCCTGAAGAAGGGTTCAGCTCCATGGTCTGGAACAAGGTGGTCAGTCCCTCAGTCTGGAGAAGAGTTCAGCTCCAAGGTCTGGAACAAGATGGTCAGTCCCTCAGCCTGAAGAAGGGTTCAGCTCCATGGTCTGGAACAAGGTGGTCAGTCCCTCAGCCTGAAGAAGGGTTCAGCTCCATGGTCTGGAACAAGGTGGTCAGTCCCTCAGCCTGGAGAAGAGTCCAGCTCCATGGTCTGGAACAAGGTGGTCAGTCCCTCAGCCTGGAGAAGAGTCCAGCACCATGGTCTGGAACAAGGTGGTCAGTTCCTCAGCCTGGAGAAGAGTTCAGCACCATGGTCTGGAACAAGGTGGTCAGTCCCTCAGCCTGGAAAAGAGTTCAGCTCCATGGTCTGGAACAAGGTGGTCAGTCCCTCAGCCTGAAAGAAGGGTTCAGCCCCCATGGTCTGGAACAAGGTGGTCAGTCCCTCAGTCTGGAGGGAAGAGTTCAGCTCCAAAGGGCTGGAACAAGATGGTCAGTCCTCAGCCTGAAGAAGGGTTCAGTTCCATGGTCTGGAACAGGTGGTCAGTCCCTCAGCCTGAAAAAGGGTTTTTAAACTCCATGGTCTGGAACCCAAGGTGGTCAGTCCCTCAGCCTGAAAAGAGTTCAGCACCATGGTCTGAAACAAGGTGGTCAGTCCTCAGCCTGGAGAAGAGTTCAGGAACCATGGTCTGGAACAAGGTGGTCAGTCCCTCAGCTGGAAAAGAGTTCAGCTCAATGGTCTGGAACAAGGTGGTCAGTCCCTCAGCCTGGAGAAGAGTTCAGCACCCTGGTCTGGAACAAGGTGGTCAGTCCCCAGTTTTGGAGAAGAGTTCAGCTCCATGGTCTGGAACAAGGGGGTCAGTCCCTCAGCCTGAAGAAGGGTTCAGCTCCATGGTCTGGAACAAGGTGGTCAGGGCCCCCCCAGTCTGGGGGAAGAGTTCAGCTCCAAGGTCTGGAACAAGATGGTCAGTTCCTCAGCCTGAAGAAGGGTTCAGCTCCATGGTCTGGAACCAAAAGGTTGGTCAGTCCCTTTAGCCTGAAGAAGGGTTCAGCTCCATGGTCTGGAACAAGGTGGTCAGTCCCTCAGCCTGAAGAAGAGCTCAGCACCATGGTCTGAAACAAGGTGGTCAGTCCCTCAGCCTGGAGAAGAGTTCAGAACCATGGTCTGGAACAAGGTGGTCAGTCCCTCAGCCTGGAAAAGAGTTCAGCACCATGGTCTGGAACAAGATGGTCAGTCCCTCAGCCTGAAGAAGGGTTCACCTCCATGGTCTGGAACAAGGTGGTCAGTCCCTCAGCCTGGAAAAGAGTTCAGCACCATGGTCTGGAACAAGGTGGTCAGTCTCTTAGACTGGAAAAGAGTCCAGCTCCATGGTCTGGAACAAGGTGGCCAGTCCCTCAGCCTGAAAAAAGGTTTTAGCACCATGGTCTGAAACAAGGTGGTCAGTCCCTCAGCCTGAAGAAGAGTTCAGCACCATGGTCTGAAACAAGGTGGTCAGTCCCTCAGCCTGGAGAAGAGTTCGCACCTGGTCTGGAACAAGAAGGTCAGTCCCTCAGCCTGGAGAAGAGTTCAGCACCATGGTCTGGAACAAGATGGTCAGTCCCTCAGCCTGGAGAAGAGTTCAGCACCATGGTCTGGAACAAGATGGTCAGTCCCTCAGCCTGGAGAAGAGTTCAGCTCCATGGTCTGGAGCAAAGTGGTCAGTCCCTCAGCCTGGAGAAGAGTTCAGCTCCATGGTCTGGAACAAAGTGGTCAGTCCCTCAGCCTGGAGAAAAGTTCGCTCCCTGGTCTGGAACAAGGTGGCCAGTTTCCTCAGCCTGGAGAAGAGTTCAGCACCATGGTCTGGAACAAAAGGGGGCCAGTTCCTCAGCCTGGAGAAGAGTTCAGCACCATGGTCTGGAACAAGGTGGCCAGTTCCTCAGCCTGGAGAAGAGTTCAGCACCATGGTCTGGAACTAGGTGGCCAGTTCCTCAGCCTGGAGAAGAGTTCAGCCCCCATGGTCTGGAACAAGGGTGGTCAGGTCCTCAGCCTGGAGAAGAGTTCAGCACCATGGTCTGGGAACAAGGTGGCCAGTCCCTCAGCCTGGAGAAGAGTTCAGCACCATGGGCGGAACAAGGTGGTCGTCCCTCAAGCCTGGAGAAGAGTTCAGCACCATGGTCTGGAACAAGGTGGTTCAGTCCCTCAGCCTGGAGAAGAGTCCAGCTCCATGGTCTGGAAACAAGGTGGTCAGTCCCTCAAGCCTGGAGAAGAGTTCAGCACCATGGTCTGGAACAAATGGTCAGTCCTCAGCCTGGAGAAGAGTTCAGCACCATGGTCTGGAACAAGGTGGTCAGTTCCTCAGCTGGAGAAGAGTTCAGCACCATGGTTCGGAAACAAGGGTGGTCAGTCCCTCAGCCTGGAGAAAGAGTTCAGCTTCATGGTCTGGAACAAGGTGGTCAGTTCCCTCAGTCTGGAGAAGAGTTCAGCTCTATGGTCTGGAACAAGGTGGTCAGTCCCTCAGCCTGGAGAAGGTTCAGCTCCATGGTTCTGGAACAAGGTGGTCAGTCCCTCAGCCTGGGAGAGAGTTCAGCTCTATGGTCTGGAACAAAATGGTCAGTTCTCAGCCTGGAGAAGAGTTCAGCACCATGGTCTGGAACAAGGTGGCAGTCCCTCAGCCTGGAGAAGAGTTCAGCTCCATGGTCTGGAAAACAAGATGGTCAGTCCCTCAGCCTGGAGAAGAGTTCAGCTCCATGGTCTGGAACAAGGGGGGTCAGTCCCTCAGCCTGGAGAACAGTTCAGCTCCATGGTCTGGAACAAGGTGATCAGGGCCTTCAGCCTGGGAGAACAGTTCAGCTTCATGGTCTGGAACAAGGTGATCAGTTTCCCCCAGCCCCGGAGAAGAGTTCAGCTCCATGGTCTGGAACAAGGGTGGTCAGTCCCTCAGCCTGGAGAACAGTTCAGCTCCATGGTCTGGAAACAAGGGATCAGTCCTTCAGCCTGGAGAAACAGTTTCAGCTCCTGGTCTGGAACAAGGTGGTCCCGTCCCCCAGCCTGGAGAAGGGTTCAGAGCCATGAAGTGAACCCTTCTCCAGGCTGAGGGACTGACCACCTTGTTCCAAGACCATGGTGCTGAACCCTTCTTCCAGGTGAGGGGCTGACCACCTTGTTCCAGACCATGGTGCTGAACTCTTTCTCCAGATGAGGGACTGACCACCTTGTTTTCCCGACCATGGTGCTGAACTCTTTTCCAGACTGAGGGACTGACCACCTTGTTCCAGACCATGGTGCTGAACTCTTCTCCGAAATGAGGGACTGACCACCTCAAATTTCTGTGTCTCCAAGGTTGATGGTTTTATTACTTAAGAACATAAAAAATGAAGGAACACTGGCCCATACAAGGCAGGTCCTTATCAAAACCACAACTACCCAAGAATTTACTCCCATACCATTTTTAAATCCAAATTTATTAAACTTAAATCCGTTATTCCTGGTTCTTACCTGATTCGATAGCCTCAGTATTTTCTTAATATCGCCTTTGTTTATGCCCGTATCCCCTTTGTTTCATTACCTCTGCTGCCTTTGTATCTAATGGAGTTTACTGGGTATGGGAAATGTTGCATCTATAAACATACCTAACTGTTGCACGTGTCTTAATTTTTACCCTCTCGTGTCATGATGTTCAACTGCCTCCCAGCATACATAAGGGGGATTACCAATAGACCCCTGGTTGTCTTCAAGACCCCTGGTTGTCATCAAGACCCCTGGTTGTGAGGTAAGACACATATGCAACAGTTAGGTATCTTTATTTCGAAACGTTTCGCCTACACAGTAGGCTTCTTCAGTCGAGTACAGAAAAGTTGATAGAAGCAGAAGATACTTGAAGACGATGTAATCAGTCCATCACCCTTAAAGTTTTGAGGTGGTCAGTCCCTCAGTCTGGAGAAGAGCATTGTTCCGTTGTCTGAAACAATATGAAGTTGAAGTGACAGGATGGAGCCTTATATAGTGCCAAGAGGTGAGAATTTGTCACTTCAACTTCATATTGTTTCAGACAACGGAACAATGCTCTTCTCCAGACTGAGGGACTGACCACCTCAAAACTTTAAGGGTGATGGACTGATTACATCGTCTTCAAGTATCTTCTGCTTCTATCAACTTTTCTGTACTCGACTGAAGAAGCCTACTGTGTAGGCGAAACGTTTCGAAATAAAGATACCTAACTGTTGCGTATGTGTCTTACCTAACAACCTGTCGGTATTTTATACCATTTTAATGTTCACCCCTGGTTGTCTTCAAGATCCCTGGTTGTCTTCAAGATCCCTGGTTGTCTTCAAGATCCCTGGTTGTCTTCAAGATCCCTGGTTGTCTTCAAGATCCCTGGTTGTCTTCAAGATCCCTGGTTGTCTTCAAGATCCCTGGTTGTCTTCAAGATCCCTGGTTGTCTTCAAGACCCCTGGGTGTCTTCAAGACCCCTGGTTGTCTTCAAGATCCCTGGTTGTCTTCAAGACCCCTGGTTGTCTTCAAGATCCCTGGTTTTCTTCAAGATCCCTGGTTGTCTTCAAGACCCCTGGTTGTCTTCAAGATCCCTGGTTGTCTTCAAGATCCCTGGTTGTCTTCAAGATCCCTGGTTGTCTTCAAGACCCCTGGTTGTCTTCAAGATCCCTGGTTGTCTTCAAGATCCCTGGTTGTCTTCAAGATCCCTGGTTGTCTTCAAGATCCCTGGTTGTCTTCAAGATCCCTGGTTGTCTTCAAGATCCCTGGTTGCTTCAAGACCCCTGGTTGTCTTCAAGACCCCTGGTTGTCTTCAAGATCCCTGGTTGTCTTCAAGATCCCTGGTTGTCTTCAAGATCCCTGGTTGTCTTCAAGATCCCTGGTTGTCTTCAAGATCCCTGGTTGTCTTCAAGATCCCTGGTTGTCTTCAAGATCCCTGGTTGTCTTCAAGATCCCTGGTTGTCTTCAAGACCCCTGGGTGTCTTCAAGACCCCTGGTTGTCTTCAAGATCCCTGGTTGTCTTCAAGACCCCTGGTTGTCTTCAAGATCCCGTGGTTGTCTTCAAGATCCCTGGTTGTCTTCAAGACCCCTGGTTGTCTTCAAGATCCCTGGTTGTCTTCAAGACCCCTGGTTGTCTTCAAGACCCCTGGCTGTCTTCAAGACGGCACTGGACGCACCTAAAGTCAGTACCTGACCAACCGGGCTGTGGTTCGTATATCAGTTTGCGTGTGGCCAGCAGTAACAGCCTGGTTGATGAGACCCTGATCCACCACGAGGCCTGGTCTCAGGCCGAACAGCGGGGTATACTCCAGGTATACTCCGGGGTAAACCAGCGAACGATGTCTTCAAATAAGTCTTTTTTCCGTACTACCTACAGACTTCAACACCGACCTGGACGACGACCTGCAGAACGACCTGTCAGGGGACTTCAAGATGTTGATGTGTAGTCTTGTAGCTGCTGGCAGGAACGAGGACCAGACTGTGGACCCGGCCACTGCAGCCACTGACGCCCAGGTTGGTCTGTAGAAGAAAGTTAAGACACTTGTGCAACATCTGGGTATCATATTGTAGACGTTTCGCCATCCAGTGGCTTTATCAATACAGATTCTTGGACATAACTGGAAGACAGTAGGACTATGTACAGAAGATAAGGTAATCAGTCCCTCAGCCTTGGAGGTGGTGTTCACAGCACCGTGGTTGCAGAGATTCTGAAGCACAGGTAAGGAGACTGGTGCTTATATAGGTGTCAGTGGATAGGGACGTGTAGCAGACGAGGACATAGTTACTGGTAGGTGGGATTCCCCAGTGGAAGTAGGTCCTTCCCAAATTGATGGGTTAGTTGTAGAAGTCGTGAAGAAGGTGATGTAGATGTAATCTGAACCAAGATACCATGATGTTGTAGTGCCTGACAAGTTGTGCAAGACAGGTATGCAATACCGACAAGATGAAAGTTAAGACACATATGCCACTGGAGGGCGAAACGTCTACAATAAGATAACCAGATGTTGCATAAGTGTCTTAACTTTCATCTTGTCGGTATTGCATACCTGTCTTGCACAATTGGTCTGTAGAACGTGAGAATAGAGGAACACTGTAGAAGGCCTACTGGCTCATACATGGCAGGTCCTTATCAAAATAACCACTACCCAAAGGTACCCAAGAATTTGTTTTTGCACCCCAGGTACCAACCAAACCCAGTCCCTCCCACTCATATATGTCACAGAGGGTACCCAGGGTCGTAGCTTCTATCACCCTACTCGGAAGATTGTTCCACGCATCCACAACTCTGAAAATCAGTACGTACCTATGTCCTTTCTAAATCTAAACTGATCTAACTTAAATCCCTTATTTCTGGTTGTTACTTGATTCGATATCCTCAGCATTTTATTAATATCGCCTTCGTTAACGTCCAGCATCCACTTATATACTAAGTAAGACACATGTGCAACAGTCAGGTATCTTTATTCCACAATGTTTCGCCTACACAGTAGGATTTTTCAGTCATGAGAAAATAAAAATGGTATACCTAAGATACCTAACTGTTCCATATGTGTCTAATTTTCATCTCGTCGGTATTGTCTACCATTTATATATACCTAGAAGTAAGACTCATCTAGGGGTAAAGTGCCTAAGAATCTTCAGAGTTATACTGGGTTATTAAGGCTGTGAAACAGGGGTTACTAATCGAAATATTGTTCTGAGTCTTGTCTGTTCTGTGGTGCAGACACTGTACGATGCTGGGGTTGGCAAGAACAGTGAGACAGATGAGGAAGAATTTATCAGACTCTTCAACAACCGCAGCTTCCCACAGCTAAAGGAAACCTTTGAAGAATACCAGAAGCTCTCTGGGTCGCCCATAGAGGATGCTGTCAGTCAGGAGTTCTCAGGGGACATCAAGACAGGATTACTGGCTATTGGTGAGGCTGGAATATTAATGTCTATTACTAACTACAAGAGGAGAGTTATGGGTAATGGTATGGTGATACAGACAAGATATGGTGAAAGACACACGGGCGGGGATAGAACACTCGATGAGAGAGTTATAAAACTTGTATTTGTGGTCACAGTGGTGGCTTATACTAACCTTCCTATAGTGTATAAATATACCTACTTGGATTAATCTTATTGTAGCCAGCTGGTCCAGTGGCTAGCGCGTCGGTCTGGAGTTTTGTGACTCTCTGATCACCTAACTGTGGTTGCATGGGTCGATTCATAGCTCCTGGCTCCACCATGTGTGTGTGTGTGTGTGTGTGTGTGTGTACTCACCTAACTGTGGTTGCATGGGTCGATTCATAGCTCCTGGCTCCACCATGTGTGTGTGTGTGTGTGTGTGTGTGTGTGTGTGTGTGTTATACTCACCTAACTGTGGTTGCATGGGTCGATTCATAGCTCCTGGCTCCACCATGTGTGTGTGTGTGTGTACTCACCTAACTGTGGTTGCATGGGTCGATTCACAGCTCCTGGCTCCACCATGTGTGTGTGTGTGTGTGTGTGTGTGTGTGTGTGTGTGTACTCACCTAACTGTGGTTGCATGGGTCGATTCATAGCTCCTGGCTCCACCATGTGTGTGTGTGTGTGTGTGTGTGTGTGTGTGTGTGTGTGTGTGTGTACTCACCTAACTGTGGTTGCATGGGTCGATTCATAGCTCCTGGCTCCACCATGTGTGTGTGTGTTGTGTGTGTGTGGTTGTACTCACCTAACTGTGGTTGCATGGGTCGATTCATAGCTCCTGGCTCCACCATGTGTGTGTGTGTGTGTGTGGTGTTGTGTGTACTCACCTAACTGTGGTTGCATGGGTCGATTCATAGCTCCTGGCTCCACCATGTGTGTGTGTGTGTGTACTCACCTAACTGTGGTTGCATGGGTCGATTCACAGCTCCTGGCTCCACCATGTGTGTGTGTGTGTGTGTGTGTGTGTGTGTGTGTGTGTGTGTGTGTGTGTGTGTGTGTACTCACCTAACTGTGGTTGCATGGTCGATTCATAGCTCCTGGCTCCACCATGTGTGTGTGTGTGTGTGTGTACTCACCTAACTGTGGTTGCATGGTCGATTCATAGCTCCTGGCTCCACCGTGTGGTGTGTGTGTGTGTGTGTGTGTGTGTGTGTGTGTGTGTGTGTGTGTGTGTGGTGTGTGTGTGTGTACTCACCTCACCTAGTTGTACTCACCTAGTTGAGGTTGCGGGGGTCGAGTCCGAGCTCCTGGCCCCGCCTCTTCACTGATCGCTACTAGGTCACTCTCCCTGAGCCGTGAGCTTTATCATACCTCTGCTTAAAGCTATGTATGGATCCTGCCTCCTGTGTGTGTGTGTGTGTGTGTGTGTACTCGCCTAACTGTGGTTGCATGGGTCGATTCATAGCTCCTGGCTCCACCATGTGTGTGTGTGTGTGTGTGTGTGTGTGTACTCACCTAACTGTGGTTGCATGGGTCGATTCATAGCTCCTGGCTCCACCATGTGTGTGTGTACTCACCTAACTGTGGTTGCATGGGTCGATTCATAGCTCCTGGCACCACCATGTGTGTGTGTGTGTGTGTGTGTGTGTACTCACCTAACTGTGGTTGCATGGGTCGATTCATAGCTCCTGGCTCCACCATGTGTGTGTGTGTGTGTGTGTGTGTGTACTCACCTAACTGTGGTTGCATGGGTCGATTCATAGCTCCTGGCTCCACCATGTGTGTGTGTACTCACCTAACTGTGATTGCATGGGTCGATTCACAGCTCCTGGCACCACCATGAGTATGTGTACTCACCTAACTGTGGTTGCAGGGGTCGTGTGTGTATATTGTGTTTATAACGAGTGTATATTACATAAAGTACATACATAATGCGTTGTATTTCAGTGCAGAGAGTTAAGGATCCTCTTGGCTTCTTCTGTGAGCGACTTAACACCACCATGGAAGGTCCTGGTACTGATGATACCACTCTTATACGACTCCTGGTATCACGCTCTGAG